GTTAGGCTTACATTGAACTCTGAGATTAATGTCTATACTCTTCATGTCTGTGAGGAAAGGGTTGGCGTAAACCGATTCACACGTATAGACGCCTTCATTCTCTTTGATCAATCTTTTGAAGCCGAGTGTACTTCTGATTGTCTTCTGAGTGACAGACTGTTCCACTCGAGATCTAACCGTAAAGTGCTTGTCGTCTTCGGTTCAATTCAAGTCATTTCATTAGTTATCATCAATTATTGCTATTTGCCAACAATTCATGCATTATTCTGTTTTAAGTCAGCAATTCATATGACATGCATTTGAATATTATTTTAGACTTAAGAGACAATTCATAGACAATATAGTGTTGAGTATTGAGACAAACCGTCTACAATGCGAATATTGTTGTGAATCCATGAGACCTGTGCTTCAGTGGCATCGCGGTCAGAATCAAACTTAGAGAAGCATAACATTGTGAAGGCATCCCCTTCTGTGCCCACATAACTATCTTTGTTTCCTGTAATGTATCCAAAATGCACATTAATTGGACTCTTAATTCATTCAACCCTTGATTCTTAACCTATACTTAAATACATACCTTCCGTTTCAATAGAATTGTAAACTTTTAGCTCAAATTTGTCCGAAGAAATCACTTTACTATTCTTTAGGACATAAAGTGTCAGTTTTAATAGATTGCAAAATGAGTTTATCAATTATTATAAAACCTTAGTTTGTCTGCACTCATAGAATCCCGAATATCGTTTGGGAACATTGACCAGGAACAGTTTGGCCGAATCAGCTCCATGTTGCTGGTATACAGGGGCCTCACTGTTGTCGTCAATTGGTTCATATCTGCCCACGTGATACCAATTAAGTACTCCTTTTGACCACAATATACAGTATGTGAGACAATGTCTTACAGAAGCGATTATGAGCACAATTACCCTCATTTTGATTGGGATCCTTCAGACATATGACAAACAGTATCTGTCGGTTCCAAATGGCCTTAACCTTCTCCTGGGGATGTATTCTAACGCCTTTCCATTCAATTCAAACGTTTGTTAATATAATTGTAATGAATATAAAGATCAATAAAAATCAAGACTTACTCCAAACCAATGATTGTAATGAAGAAATAATCATAAAAATGAGACAAAAAATAGCGTTTGTTCGCGAATTATGGCTAAAACTGACTATCGATCTAAACTTCATAATTGTTGAGCAAATTTGTATTATTATTGTTACTAATGAATAGGATTACACTCTGAATGAATGAAGTTTCGCCCAAATGTCTCGCAATTGAATGTTTAATAAATGATTTGTTGGAAACAATTTATACCATTAATTGAGAGGAACTGAAAACAAAAGAGACAAATATTTGAATATAAGCCAAGTATATGAAGAATTATAGATATGAATAGCAATTATTGAATCCAATTCTTAATGCGAATTATGTTTCCAATAATACACCTATCAATTTCTTAAATTCAATCAAATAGAGTAATAATAAAATCATTTACTAAACATAATTTACAGAGTATTGGTATCATATATGCTGCATTGATAGAATATACAATATAATTAACAATAAATAAATATCATATAAACTAACAACTATTTAACATTGAAAACTCTATACCCATTGGAGGAAAATGAAATCATTTATTATATTAATTATCACACATTTTATACACAACTTATGATTATTGATAATTACTACTACTAAATGTATTAGTATATCTTAAGTTAAACTCAACTAAAGATCATGTAACAATATTTATGTAATATTAGAGTGAGCTACTCAAATAAATATCATCTATGATTCATGTGAATGATTTCGACTATATTATTGTCAATATTCAATTTATTGAATTTTAAAATATACATTGATTATTGATCTTATCAAGAAATATTGCTATTAATAATTAATCAGTAACTTTAATCGGCAATCAGTAATGTCAACAAGAGTTTGCTTGGTTTGTGGTGTTAGCGCTAATGGTATGTATTTTACTAATGTAATAGATAATTAAATATGAACCTGTATATTTAGGCATCAATTTCTGTGCGCTCACGTGTCAGTCCTGTAAGGCTTTCTTCAGGAGGAATGCCCACAAACAAGAGGTTCAATAATATTTATAATTTATAAATAAATGTCTAATGATGACAAAACGGTACCAGAAGTACAAGTGTAGGTTTGGAGACAATTGTGTGATTACTGAAGAATCGCGAAAATTGTGTCAAAAATGTCGGCTCAAGAAATGTTTCGCAGTCGGCATGAAAAAAGTAATTCATTTCTAATTGAATTGAATATAAAATAATCAAATACTATATGAATATAATTGAAGGAATGGATACTCAATGAGGAGGAGAAGGAGTTTAGGCGACAACGGATTGAGGAGAACCGCAAATATAGAGAAATGTGTTTCAATCAGACATCACATGATGTCCCAGAAGTTGACAAAACTGTAAATTCCGACTCAAATGCCAATTCATGGGATGATATAAACAATCAACAAATCAATGAATATATCAATCAAATCGAGAATTACATAACTAATGATGAAAGCAGTGATAAATTTCACGAATCAATCGGTGATAATATAATTATCAAACCCATTATCGATGGAAACAATCTGGATGACAAGGATATATGTACAGATAAAATACCTGGACACACTGGCACTACTAATTCAGTGGGTACTAGTAGTAATATTATAATTAATGCTGAAAACAATAATTACAGTATTGACAAGGATTGTCAAATAGCTATCAGATTATGCACCAGTAATATAATGCGTGAATTAATGGATTTAAACAGTTTTAATGAGTTTGAATACAAACGTTTGAATGAATTGTTTAGCGGTTTAAATGATAACCATATTCGGTTGGTCAGTGAAAGGGAACCGACCTTGACAATTCCCAAGTTTAATACCGTTCATGAGCTCATGGCGTACGATGTTATTAATTTTAATCAATATATTGAGCAGTATATTCAAACAGCTATGAAATTAAGTGGATTTAAAAGCACTTGCATTAATGATCAAATAGCCCTGGTCAAATATAGCTTCACGGAAATGCAGATATTAAAGGCTGCCCTATACTATAACCACTACAAGAAGTGTTGGACTATTGAAACGGTATGCAAATGTGTAAAATAAATATGAATTAAATTTACTAATTATTTTATTATGAACTATATATTGTTATTACCGGTATTAACAGGACAAAAACACTTCATATGTATTAACATGGGATTTGCTAAAAGGATTCAAGAAAAATATGTATAAATTATTGGAGTGTGTGTTAAACACAATGTTCACTGAATTTAACAATGACCTCCATATTCTTCAATTGGTATTTATTAGGAAAAGCTGTTTATTTTGATTATTAATAATAATTTTGATTGTACTGTATGTGAACAGATAATGCCCATATTACTATTTAATCCCGAGAGACCAAACATTATAAATAGGGATATGATCGAGTAAGTAATTTACTCAACAATATTGTATATAATGTAATTCGTAATGATTTGAGTTTTACTTTTATTTGTGTACAAATTGTTTAGATTGCAACAACAGTTGTACATATATTTACTTCAGAAATATTTGAGTCTAAAGTATGGTTTTGCGTGCGAAACGAAACTTTCAAGAATATCATATATTGTGCAACACATTCATATGTTAAGCGAATTACATAAACAAAACTACCTTGCTATAAAACCTGAGATTTGCGGACCACTACTCAAAGAGATACTCGAATAGCATTCAAATTGATGGATAAACTTATAAACTTTTTTAAATGTTTACCACAATTTTATTTATATGTACAGTTACTTCAAATTTACACCTTAATCTTATAATAAATTGTTAAGTTATGTACAAATTACAATAAAATAATTTTAACATTAAAACTATAACTGACTAATTCATGATATTGCAATAAATTCACAACTATCACAATATTTACCATATCAAACATTATTACAGAATTAGATTTATACATTGTAGATGTACCTGTATATCTTTTCATATTATTATTCCTGAGGTATCCATGAACTTGAAGATAACATACAGTAACTCTAATTATTCACAACATGACTGTTTATTATTGCATTGATTTATCATAAATAAATTGCCATTTTATAATTTGAATGAAGAATTTAAGAATTTAACTTGTTTTGTTTAATAATAATGTTTATTATTTAATTAAATGTCTAATGAAATAAAGTTATGTTTGATTTGTGGTGCTAGAGCTAATGGTATTTAATTCATTTATTTCAATTCAGTCAAGTATTTTTATTATAATTAATTCATTTATTAGGCATCAACTTCTGTGTCATTACTTGTCAGTCATGTAAAGCATTCTTCAGGAGGAATGCCTACAATTTTGAGGTAAAACTAACTTTCACATTATAGTAACTGAATAAAACTATTATTAATAAATTTACAGAAACAGAAGTGTAGGTTCGGAGACATTTGTGTAATCAATGAGAAAACAAGAAAATATTGCATCAAATGTCGACTCAAAAAGTGTTTTTCCGTCGGAATGAAAAAAGTGATTATTATTTATATATTGTACACAAAAATCATTTATAAAACTTTTATTTTTATGGTTTAAGGAATGGATTATGAATGAGAAGGAGAAGCAATTGAGAAGAACTCAAATCGAAAAGAACCGAAAGTTTAGGCAAACTATCTCTAAAAGTACCACAAATGGTGACAAAGTATCGCAAACGTTAAACTCAGACTCAGATATCGACTCAATTGAGACCTTAGACGACGAGAAAATTATTGACTATATTCTGGACATTACTAATGAAAGCAATGATCAAACAATTAATGTAAACAAAGTTAAAGTCTTGGATTCAACTGGTGGTGAACTATCTATATTATCACAAACATTAGATTCATTGAGTACTTCTAATAGTGATAAAATGGTCGTGCAATTAATCAATTCAAATGCAATGAACACTATTAATGATTTAAATAGTTTTAATGAGTTTGAATGCAAACGATTGGAAGAGTTATTGAGATGTGATTATATGTTTAGACATCAGAGTTGTCCCAAAATAAAGTCTGTGTTCACGACAGTCGATGAGTTGAGAGCTTTTAGTGCCACGATATTTCATAAACGTATTAATAACTTCATACAATTAGCAAGCAGATTGAGTGCATTTAACAGCATGTGCCTCAATGACCAAATAGCCATGATCAAATACAGTTGCATCGAAATGCAAATGTTGAAAGCCGCTACATTCTACAACCATGATAATCCATATTGGTATCTTGAATTGGTAGTATTAATACCAGGATCGTTTAATCATTTAATTACAAAATTTTCATATTTCCAAATAATAGGGCCAAGATTATTCATATGTTCTTACATTGGATTTAACTAAAAGTTTTACACAAAATATTTATCCAGCACTTAACTCTTATTTAATGATATTTATAAATGAACTTGGTTCTGACCGCCAGATTCTTGAATTGGTAATTAATTTAATTAATATTTGGTACTAAAATATAAAATTACAACTAATTTTATTTGATTATTAACAGTTAATGCCTATACTACTGTTTAATCCTAAGAGACCAGGCATTGTTCAAAAGGATATGATTGAGTAAACTATCGATAATTATGATATTAAAAATATAAATAGTTATTAATAATTATATTAACTTTTATAGACTTCAACACCAGTTATACCTGTATTTACTTCAACGATATTTGCGAATAAAATATGGCATTGAATACGAGACTAAATATTCTTCTATATTACATATTCTACAATACATTCACACATTGAATGAATTGCATAAAGAAAACTATAGAAGTATTGCCAAGTCTGATATGTCTGGACCATTAATACGAGAGATACTCGATGTGCCATCAAATTAAAGTTCATAGTATTATTTAATCAAGTCATGATTTGATTATCAATTATGTATTGTATTTTAATAATAATTTTTTATATGAATAGTAGAGGTCCGAAGTGACTTATCTCTTAATTCAAATACAGACTGTATTATAAAGTGTTTAAACTTAAGTCACATAGCATTTACCAAGTTCACAATTTATTAGCCTATGAAGCATAGCTTAATATTTGTATTGAGAGATAAGTCACTTCGGACCTCTACTATTCATATACTGTACTAATAGAATAGTTAAGATTCTTGTTAAACAGTAAATATAAACTGCATTAACAAAATGAAAACTAATAAAATTGTAAAATAATTGTAATATACTATTGACACTGTGCAATTAAAAATCAGGAAACAGTTGTTTGGTTTGTGACAATGAATTACTATTGAAATCATATGATTGTTGAAAGATCTTATGTTTAAGTTTATGTAAATATAAACTTGATCTTTGAAAGTGCAAATCAATGTACTATACATGCACTAGTGTTTCATCGTGAACATCATTTTAAATATCTGTTTTATGATAAATTAAATATAATAATATAATGATAAGAAGGGTAATCAATTTCAAATATATCTTTAATTTTATGATAACTTCATATGTTAATATGTTATTATTCATATGTTAAGCGAATTACATAAACAAAACTACCTTGCTATAAAACCTGAGATTTGCGGACCACTACTCAAAGAGATACTCGAATAGCATTCAAATTGATGGATAAACTTATAAACTTTTTTAATGTTTACCACAATTTTATTTATACAGTTACTTCAAATTGACACAATAGTCCAATAATAAATTGTTAAGTTATGTACAAATTACAATAAAATCACTTTAACATTAAACCTAAAACTGACTAATTCATGCTATTGCAATAAATTCACAACAATGATTGAAAAACATTATAACAGAATTATATATTTATACATTGTAAACGTATACCCTTTTCATATTATTATTCATAACTTATGAATCATAAGGTATCCATGAACTAGGAGATAACATAACTCCAATTATTTACAATATCACTGTTTATTATTGCACTGATTTATTATAAATAAATTGCCATTTTATAATTCAAATGAAGAATTTAAGAATTTAACTTGTTTTGTTTTATAATAATTATTAATTAAATAAATAAATGCCTAATGAAATAAATTTATGTTTGGTTTGTGGTGCTAAGGCTAATGGTATTTGATTCATTTATTTCAATTCATTTCAATTTCGATTCAATTCAAGTATCCCTATTGTAAGTATTTTAATTTATTTATTTATTAGGCATCAACTTCTGTGCCATTACTTGTCAGTCATGCAAAGCATTCTTCAGGAGGAATGCCTACAATTTTGAGGTAAAACTAATTTTCACATTATAATAACTA